GGCTGGGGTTTAAGAGCGGGGAGCGTGGGTGGGGACGCCAGCGCCCTCCCATCTCACAGGCGGAGGCTGGGACACACCGGGGCCGCACTGCCACTCAGGCAGGGCTGAAGTGGGGGCCCACCCTCCCGACTCAGCCCGGCGCCCTTCCCACAGCCCCGTGGGCCCCCCAGGCTGCCCCCGCCGGCCAGGGGCGGCCAGAGAGTCAAGCAGGAACCCCCTCCTGCCACCTGGACGCCAGCCTGCGTGCACAGCGCCCGCAGCCTTCCGGAATAGATAACCCCAGCCGGCCTCAGAGGGGCAGTGCTCCCGCGCCCGGGAGCCGACCCGCCCCTCGGGCAGGAAGCGGGCGCTGCTTGGAGGGCAGGTCTCTGCGACGACCCCCCCGCCCCGGGCCAGGCCGGCTCTGCCAGACTGCCCCGCGTGAGCGTCTGTGCACGGGCGGCTGTGAAGTTCAGGGGAGAGTGCTGGTGACAGCCCGGGGACCGTGACTTGGACAGGAAAATCCCGTGGAGCACCGCCGGCCAGGCCCGGGAGGGCCACGCCCGCCTCTCCAGCCTCCTCCAGCTCCAAGAGGGGCAAGTCAACGCATCAGCATCACTGAACGAGCCCAGGGAGGGACCCTCAACCCGGCCCTGCCCAGCGCCTGGCGCTGCCGCGCTGTGGTGGTGGGAGAGCCCGCATCTGGGCAATGCGGGGCTCTGGGCAGGGACTAGGAGCCGGCTGTAAGCAGAAGAAATGTGGCTTTACACCCAGATTCTCATCAAGTCACGCTGCCCCGCTCCCCGGGCTGCTGCCTCTGGCCCACATTTGAAAAAAACAAACAAAAAACAAAAACAAAGCCACCACTACTTTTAGGGTCCCATCCCTTCCCCGTGTGTCTGGCTTGTTCCCCTCTCAGAAGGAGTTACGCACTTTCCCACCTAAATCCCGTCCCCTCCCGGCCTGAGGCCTGAGGCTCCCCAGCAGCCCGTGTGCGGCCCCTGTGGAGCGCACGTCTGCCCGCCCCGCCCCGCCCACAGCGCCCCCAGCC